TTCGTCGGTCCCATCTAGCATCCCGAAGGACCGACCGGTTTTCTACGAGAGTTCTCCCTAGCGATCCTCTAAACGTATTCTAGTTAAATTTGCGGCGCTTATTATTTTTTCTCTTTCCTCTTTATTTTCTTCTTTTATTGTGCATTATCTGAAAATGCATGAGTAATGCGACTTTTTATAACATTCCGGAAGTCAAGTTCTTTTCAAAGGCACTATTGTACGCAAACGGAAATGCGGCCCGAAGAAAGTTATGCCCTTTCCGATGTTCTTGCCCAGTATCTATCGCAAATCGGTAAAGTAAATGTATCAGTTAGTAGACATGATTCAATTATTGGACAAAATATCAAACATTTTTAATGTCAAGCTTTTAATGATATGTACGACTCTAAATAAATTCGTTTTATTCAATGTTTATAAACAAATTTATTTAGAATTGTATATCATTTGAGAGCGAGCGAGGCAAAGCAGCTAGAGATCCCGGGTTCGATTCCCAAAAAAACCATAGTATCTTTATAAGCTCGTGTCTCCTCTCGGAAGGAAGCGACAACCTACCGAGAGTATCTTCGTCAAGAACACTTCTCTAACATCTAACAAAATTTCGTCGTTCAAAATCGTTAAATGTAGGTGCCATATGACTGTATACATACAATCAGCATGCGCACCACAGGCGAAAGACGTCACCATACTCGACCACAAGAAATAGAGTAGCTGAGAAGTACATGGCAATTAAATAATCAGCGTACGCATCACAAGCATATGAGAAAGGTGTAACACAGGCCAGAGGCCTAACGTAAGAAGAAGTACATATCGTTAGAAGCTTAATATTTAAAATACTTCGTCCAATAACCGAGTCATGTCCACTAACTAATAGATACATTCATCTTACTTCTGGTAGTGTCTGTGAAGCTAAACTCCGGACACTGATGAGATCTCAAAGATTCTCAAATCGATCAGTCGCTTTTCATTGGCGACGAATCGTTGTCGAAAAATTTGATCGTATCATTTTCGATTTCACAAAAGATACCGAGGGGAGGGCTCCGCTGGCAATCAGTTAAAGCGACTAGATTTTTGTATAATTTTGCACAAACGCAACGCGATCTCGTCGATTCAATAGTAATTGATCAATGACTGCATATGTGAGGTTGAAGAAACTTTTTTTCGAAGTTGATGAAGCAATTCAATCTTCCTGTATCTTTAAGTTATAACGGGCACTCAATGGATAACGAGATAAAGTGAGAAATAGTATATAATTACTAATGATATCAATGTATCATGAATAACACATTACGTAATAATAAGTAATGTTATTTCTTGAGATCGGATCGCGATTGACGACTGATCGATGTCGATTAGCAAAACGTTCGGATTTGTCTGTGTAATGAAATTTGCGCTCGTCTTTTCTCACACCGTCGAGGATGCCTTTCAATAAAATTACGCATTCCTGCGTTCGTTCAAGGAGGGATCTTACTAACAAATTCCGTCTTAAAAAAAAACCCCGAGAGCTACGTATAAAGGTATATAAAAATGGCACTAATACAAAATGGTAACATTATAAATATAATTGTATTTGTAGAGCTATGTTATTCAAGAAAGAGATTATATCATTGGGCAAATGAGCGAGTTTAGCGAGTCAAATTATTGAAAGATTACAACAATGTGAAAAAAGGCGAAAAAAAAGATACAGAATTAAAGTAACAGATCTAAAAAGATAAAGATCTTAAAAATCTACGTAGGAAAAATAAATTCAGTGAAAACGAAACGACGATTCAAAAATATTACGGTCCCTCCTCAAAACGCATCCCATCTCCACATTGATAAACATAATCATTTCTTGCGATCTAGTGTATAATCTTTATATGAAATATTTTTTATACATTTTCTTATAGTTAAGCAACCAATAAACCCCACCCGCTTTTTAGCATAAGCCTTAAATGTAAAATTAAGATTTTAGCGGTATATAAGTAACAATGTAAGAATTTATATATATATATACATATATATGTAATATATACATATATATGCATATATATATATATATATACGTATGTATAATATATAATCTTTTTTTTACATTTCGGGGTCGATCTCGTGGCGTGGCTCTCATCAACTTTGGATAAAAATTATTTACATTATGTTACATTTCTGTCTCTAGTACAAAAAAGGGGGGGGGGGGAGGGAACAACGTTGCACGATAACGTATATTAGATATGAAACAGTGCAATTATAGTGAGAAAAATCGGCGTCGAGTACTTCGTTTTTTTGTCTTTTCGAATATCAACGTTTTACTTCAGTATTTCCGTATTTTCCTCCCATATTTAACGATTGCTAAACCACGCCACGAGAAAGAAGCCTGCATAACATATAAGCCGATCGTATATTTAGCTTATCTAAGATGTATAAACTTATCTAAGATCTTATCTCGTTACTCGTGCGCTATATAAAGGTTTATATAGCTTACACTATAGTTATTGGCTTAAAAACCTACAGGTACATCTAAATCGCTTAAAATCGAACTATGAAAGTATGTACAATTAATGAGCACGCAGTTTATTTTCTCTCGCCTGTACATATCTATTATTATATCGCGACTGATAAATCGATAGGAAATTATTTGTGCTAACAACTGTCCCTCGTCTGTCCAATGATCATTCTCTTCTCTTTTTTCTCCCTTCACTTAGAAACGTTTCCTTTCGTCTCGTTAGTAAATCATTCTCGGTTGTTCATGGTAACTTGAAAAACATTAACGTGCGTAGTTTCGTTGTACATCCGAATATTAATACAAACGAGAAAGGAGATCTGACGTCGATCGCGCTGAGTACGTTCAAGAAAGGATGAAGAAAAAATTAAAAAAAAAAATAAAAAATCACAAATAGACTCTTTCTCGTATAAAGGAAACAGAAGTCTAAAAAAGATAAAGAAATGAATATTAAATCAAAGTCTCAAAATTTGAAGACTCCAATTCCCATCAAGAATCTAAAAAAAATGAAAAAGAGAAGAGATGCGTAATTAGATATAATTGATTTTTTTTCTTATAAATCGAACGCGATCGCGTTCATTCTCAGATGAATTCGCTATCGAACAGACGCAGAGACTTTCGATTGTCGCCTCGTTTAAGAATCATTGTCAGCTTTTGCTATCACTGTGCCTTCACAGAAGCAACGTCTCGATGTGTCTCTTTTTGTTAATTAAGAATTTAACCATTACTCTCTCAAGACACAAGACTTTATTCCCTACTATTTAGTCCCATGAATTTCCTAGTCATTATTCATATTGCAAAATCAAGAAGTTTATTAACAAGTGATATTGTAGCATTTAACTTTTTGTTACTATCAACATTTCAGTGTCGTTCATAAGATATATCGATACGTTAATAGTAATCTCGATCGATGATACGAAGTCCAATCTTCGTATAATTTTAATTTTTTTGGATTTATGCCCTGTCTAAATAGCAAAGCGGGTTTCATTGGCGTAACAATGGGAAGACAAAGAAAGACGGGAAAAATCCAAAAGATTACATGGATGTATTATCCGTAGCGAAATCATTTGCGCTTTACTATGTACGCCTATTACGATTAACGTTACGCAAAATCCACTCCCATTTTCTCCTCGATCTCGAAAACTAATGTGTCGATATTGTGCAACCCAGATGTTTTGAAAGACATTTCTGCGCGTGGCGCTCGAACGAGTAAAATATTCGGTATCATGTGTTTCTGTGTGTAATATTAAATACGTTATACTCGTGATTTAAGAGTGTATCGATTTTTCAAGTAATAACGTATATCCGTCAATAAAGAAATAAAAGTTACATGTGACGACGAGAATTACAGCCTTTCTTGCCTTTCAAAGGCATTTTCTTTTTCTCTTTCATCTTCCTAATCAACGCTACTACCGTTCACTTTCGCTCAAACTTATTGCTTATTGTATCGTGATAACTGTATCACCTATCTTGATTTTTCTATTGTAAACAATGTGTGATATAGTACGTGGGCTCAATACGTGACTAGTATGTTCAGGACGACAGGATTAGGACACAAACATAACAATTTTCTGCGTTCGCACGAAAGCCGTCTCAGCATCCTTCGAATATGCATTTTGTGAACAGTCTACAGTGATCGACTATCGACTTAAGAAATAAAGAACAACCATCAATACAATTTACTAATTCGTTTGATTGATTAATTGATAAAAACAGCCGGTGCATTTCAATTCTCTATTTATATATACAAGTCACTCAATTTATTATTCCTCTCATTATGCAAAATCAATACGATTTAAATCAATTTTCGTAACACTTTCATTTCACCAAAACGTATAGTATTTATAATATAATTATTGCATAGACAGCGTATGTATAAATATATGCATATGCAAACTCAATTAGTGCGAGTAGTATATTAAGAATTCATCAAATGATTTCTAAAAGCTTGGTTCCAAATGATGACTTTGAATTGAAAGTCTAAAAAATTTACATTTTGGGGACTGACAACGTTAACTTTTCTGTATCTGTGTTATGTTCACACAGATGTTTTCGTGAACATTTTATGAAAAATAAATATGGCAAAATTGATATATGTATATATATGTATGTATGTATATACATATATACAGATATATATTGTGTTATTATATGGAAGTACGCCACGCGATTACATTTAGTCTTAAAATAGAAGCTCTGAATGTAACACTTTACTGCTACTACTTCAAGAGAGTAAATATTATTGATATATTTCAATGATATATATAAAGAACACGTGTCTTCTATAAAAAAAATTGTGCTAAAAAATAAAAAGAAAACTGAAAAGGGCGCCTTTTCCAATAAAAAAATATTAAATATTCACAGAAAGATAGAAATTTAAATAATCTCAATAATAATCAGAAAAGACAGAGCAAATCCAATAACAGTCATATAGATGTATATCTACACAACTGAGTATTCACGAATTATATGATTAGTCTCTGAATTTATATAATAGATTAATCAAAAGTAATATTTAGGCGTTTTTATCTGTTATATATATATTTAGTCTTTATGCTGTCTTTTAGATAAAAGTAGCACTTTATCTTTTTGCATACATCAAACACTCGTTTGAGCAAACAGTATCTTACAGGACGTTTCTGCACAGATAATGTTCGCCTGTTCGAATGTTGTCACCATATTTACATCAGAATATGAAATAAAAGTGTAACTGAAAGTATTAGGATATATACATTTCCATCGTTATATTGCTCCATGCACACACACGCATTCTCACCATCCTTCTGGCTTCGGTTCTATCTTGTACCGTAGTTAAATATAGCAAACAATATGAAAAGCGAGTGAAAATATTTTTCGCAATGCGCTACCACGCCGAGGGGTTTAAATATCGGTAAATATAATCTTAAACGCTAAATCACGGTTCTAAATCTATTATTAAGAATTTACTTCATATTCCAATAATAATAATCTCTAAAATCACACAAATAAGATTAGAGACGCGATTTCCATTTTTAATTTTATGATATTAATTCTCAATAATGTATATTACCGAAAATACTATCGCCACTTCATCTAGAGGGCGATTCGATAATTTCTGTCAATTCACAGATATATTCGAAATTTACGTGTTTTTTTTTACCGCTGCACCATTTCATTTTTGGGAGGTAGACGAGCCCTCTGTCTTAATCGTGACGGGTTTGCTCGCTTCGGAGTTGGAGCTGGCTTGAGTTCGTTCTCTGGCAGTGACTTACGATTTATTCGCTTCGAAAGGTTTCGTAGAGAAACCAGAACTCTGCCTATTTCGCTGGCTGCTTGATGATGTGGAGTCATTCCGTCGTCGAAAATGATACAGTCTAGAGCCGAAAGAACCAGCCCTATTTCGAAACTGCGATAAATGCGACTCTTGCGCGTTTGGCAGTGTGTTATAATCATCTGAAAGTAGGCGTTCGCTTGTCAGTGAATCTTCCCTAGCGCTTTCAGAAACAGTTCTATGACGTATTCTTGCAGCTTGGAGCATTTGTATTTGAGGCTGTAAAAAATAACACAAATATTATATAAAATAAGAAATGAACTCTAAATGCTATTAAAAAGTGAATTATGACGCAAGAAATAATTTGTTTGCAATAGTACTCACTTCTACCACTCTAAAATCTTCGATGTTCTTGAATTTTGATAGGTACTCTTGCAATTGAGGATCTACATGAAGCTGATCAGAGTTCTTATAATATTTCAAAAATGCCCAAAATTTTTCCAATCCATACAGCTGTCCTATTGATTTAAGTAATTTAATTTAATATTAGTATGATATTGTAACAACTTAAATTAACATAATGTACAACGCCTGCGGCACATGCATTTTTTTCTTATTGGATTGCTTGCGTTTTATTTAGTGAATTACTGGATATTCTGTGCAGAGCTATGTTCAGATTTCCAAGTACCCAGGTATCACTTCATCCTTGTTTATCGAACGTTAAACAAGGATGATATAACATCTGGGGAGCACCTAGATAGGAATCCAAACACGCGCCTGTATGATGCAATTCTAGTAATTTATTAAAATCTAAGCATAATAAACTTATGCATGTAAGCTTAATGTCAAATTGTTTTTGTTTGTTGTGCTATTACTAATCAAAATCCTAGGACAACAAAAATATCCTTCTAGCGTTAGTAAAACACTTGATTTGCTGTTGCACAATTTACCGTTCAACTACTATACGATAACATAGCTAAACAACCTATTTTGTGCTGTTTATCTACTTTATGACAGCATACATATAGTAAAAATACATATAAAATCTTACCGCTTTCATAATCTTGTATCGTTTCCATTTCAAAATCTGTATACAATGTATGTCTAAACTTCTTTTCCAAGCCGTAACTGTAAAATCTGAAAAGGCACTCCAGTCCGTATCGGTATCCTTCGCAGGCATCTTCTTTGGCTATAGTTCTGAATTCCTCGTACATGGTACGATTGAAGTTTTCTCGCAAGAAAAACGACCAGAAACGGAAAAGTGTGTTCATTTCTTGAGATTGTCCGATACCTAATCGTTTGCGTTCTAAAAACATATGAATATAATATGTAAGTAAAAATCTTGATTTAATATAAACATACAATTTATTTAATTAACAGTCAGATAAAAGTATTTCTACACGTTTTTCTCAGTTGGGAAAAGAAGACAAATAGAAATTCATCATTTTATGATCTCCATTCACACAAATTAATATCTTAAGAAAATATCTATATTGCTGATACCTTTCAAGCAACGCGAATGATATTTGTGATATGCTTGTTGAGTAAATCCATTATCCTTCAACAAAGCATGACTCGGATGCTCACAGATACTGGGAACACTTCCATAACTATTAGCAAGATAACCTTCATTAGGACTTGTGCCTGCGCTACTCCTAAAATAATAAAATAGAGAACAAATTAAAAATATATATGCAAAATGAACATAAACTTTTATTTTTCCGTTATCATTCAGATTAAAATTATTCTACAAGATCCTTCAGTCGGGAAAAGAAGACATATAAATAGATAATTCATCATGTTATATTTTACATTTATACAAAAGTAGAAATATCGTTAGTAATAATTAATAAATTCATTTCAATTAATCGCAAAACAAAAATATAAATACGAGATTACAATGCCAGATACTTTTAATTTACGAGCTATGTGTACTTCATAGAAAATTAGCAATTATTTCTCCTCGTATAATTTTAATATTTACACTTTTTAATATTTCTACACGTTAGCAATGAAGTGTTTTTTATCTTGAAATATCGAAAAATTTATTTTTTAGTTTAAACTGCAAATTTATTGCGAATATATTACATACCCCGTGGAATACGTTCGAGGATGATGCTCTCGAACGTCCATAACCCAGCCAATATGATGCTCTACTGGAGGATTATTGCTGTGACGAGTCTTCCTTTTTCGTGGCGTTCTCGGATCAACAGACGGTCCATCTTTCACAACGGCAAAGAAACGTGGCGTGGTATTTCTTCGTCCTTCTCTTGGACAAAGTTTATCACTCCAACGATTCCTTTCCTGTCTGTGATCTTTCTTATCTGGACTTGTGCTTGGAAGCTATTCAACGAATACATAGCATATATAATATTTTTCTAGGATAATTTTTTTATTTCGCAAAGTTTGAATTACCTGTGATGAAATCGAAACTTCTAAATCTTCCATAGAAGGAGGTGGTGGTGGTGGAACTTCCGGATTTGCTTTTCTTGGAGCTTTTGGCGCCATTTTCTCGAAATCTTCCTGACTAATCATGTTAACCGTTTTGTAACTTCCAATGGATGAAGAAGAGCCATGCTGTACGTTAATATAACTTATTAATATCCCTGAATTTATTTGTTTCTAAATTTGAGAGATTAAAATTCTAATTTTAGGGTGATATTTCATTTGTGCGTTTTTGTCGTACGACAAATTTTTCAAGTTGATTAGCTATGGGATAGAGAGAACCGAGGACCTCTCTGTTCTGTATACATTTGTCGTACGACAAAAACGCACAAATAAAATAGCACCCTTACTCTTTGAAAATTTTGTCTCCATAATTGTTCCTCATAATAATGTAATCCGTCGTTGATAAACTGTTCTAATTCTTGAGTCATTTTTACTCTTGTAGTCCACTCTCCTGTTCTATCATGGCCCTCATGCTTTGGGATTCTGGATGATGTAGGACTGATTTGAGTAAATATCAATATTTTATTAATATCTCTATCCGATAATTCGTTATCATCGTCATCTTCAGACCTGTAACAATTATATCAAGAAATATAAAATATCAACAGTAATTTACATGTTAAAGGATTAAATAATCATCTAATCTCGCTCTTCTCTATGTGCTATGATAAAAAAAACAGTTCAGATTTAGCCCGGATCCTCATACGGGACACAGCGCTTTGATACCAAACGCTGATTGGTGAAAAACGGGTGATGGGGGTAAATTTTACCCCACAACCGGCTTTTCACCAATTAGCGCTTTGTGTCAAAGCGCTGTTGCCCGTACGAGGATCCGGGCTTAGACTTCTTATTCTTATAAAAACTTTCAAATTGTTAAAATAAATACATTATAAACTCAAATAAATTAAATACATTGTAAACTTTTGAGTTTGTTGTAACAAGCAGGAATTTTTTAATGAAAATATCTAAATTCATTCATACTACAATATCCTAAAATATTTCGATATTGACCTGCGTGAACTGAGTCTTTCAAGGAACGGTCAAAATTTCAAGTAGCATTACAATAGATTAGAGAGGGGATGAAAGAAGCAGGTAATAGAGTGAGAATATAGGACGACCATAACGGTTTTTAGTTAGTTTGCTGCGATCCTGCGAGCAGGTAAGTAAAGTCGTCCCATGAAAGACCCATGATTCACATCGCATTAGCAAAGAACTAATGTGACGATGTCGAAATCCGGCGAAGAGATATTGAACGACTTTTATGATCAAGAGAAACTTAAAATATTTTATAACAAAGCTTCAGAGAGTGAAGCGAACTTTGAGGATATATTGAGCGATGTACGTAGATAATGCATAAAGTACCAGTGAAGACGATTCCTTTGAATCTTTTTTCAACAAATTTTTTCATAATATAAATTTTCTTGGTACAAATATTTCATACTTTTGTAAAGTAAAATAAATAATTTTCCGACTAAAAATTGAATTTTTTTTCCAAAAATTTTATTTTTGTGTTACAATTTTCACTTTTCAAAATAATTAAGATTTTTAAGGCAAGCATCTGTATAAATCACCTTTTTCGTAAAAACATCATCTCACACAAGAGTGTGATATAGATTCATCTGCCTAGACAGTTTTTTTTTCTTTCAACGCATTCAAAATTATGATTTTTTAACACATAAAAAATTTTTATATTAACGGGAGATTGTTTATGATATAGTGCGTCAGAAAACTCAATGAGTTTGTACATTAACATCGAAAAGGATCCGAAATTGGATCGAAACAAGACATTGGAACGAATAAATCTTTTTCACATTGACATCCTGCGTTTGGCTCCAAAAGCATCAACCTAACGACGGAAGATTCATCTGTAATGAGCCTATATACAAACAATTTCATATTATTAAAAATTTTTATATTTCCCTTTATTACTATTAGTATTTTGCTACATAAAAAAACATCTGAGTTAAAAAATGTTCAGAATACAAAGTACAGATGTAAAATAAAAAATAATTTTTCCTGATTTTTAAACTGATTTATTAGGAAAAATATGGTGCTGGCATAAATAAGTCACCGTTCACACGACATTAGTGAAAAACACCAGTTTACACACAGGGGGTTAATTACAGGGTTAATTAACAGGGTATCCATTCATCCATATAATGATACTACAGTCCAAATCTGATCAGGGCCTCCTCTAAATGAGATTTCTAAACAATAATTTTTCTGGAATTAGGTTGTTAGCCTAATGTCTGACCTCCAACGGGAGATGAGAGAACGGATGTATATATCTACTAATATATAGGACCTACAGTTTAACGCCGAATCCGAACGACGCTGGTGATCAAAGGTATCTTCTTAATCACCAGATGGGATCATTTTCGACTCCTTAAACGCGAAAAATCGCGTACATGGCGCAGGTGGGATTGAACTCGGATTTACATCAAAATCGCGAATCAATCCCACCGAGTAGTAAGCCATTTGACGTCTCAATTGCACGTATAAACTAACCATTCTGAAAAGGCATTATGTCGACCAGTCGGTGGCGGTGAATCCAGTTCCTCGTCAAATTGAAAATCCAGCTCTTCTCGTATTGCATTTTTCATTTCAGATTTCTCTTTCTCTTCTGTTCTGTCCTTGTGTGAATGTCTCTCTTCTGTTTTGTCTTTGTGTAGATGTTTGACTCTTCTTCTCACCTATAATTTATTTCCATAATACTTTCATTTTCGCAAATTTCTGTAGTTTGATACAATAAAAAATAAAATGATAGTTACCTCCTTCCAAGCATTGTCGCTTGATGAATCCGATTCTCCGTTGATTCGTTCTGATAAGCTGTCCGAAGTAAGAGCATCTGCTGTAGCCGGTAATTCATTGTCTTCTCTTACATTCGTGGGAGAACTATTATTAAAAGAGAGAAGATACTTTTCTGCAATCTCCATTGTTTCTTTTATCTTTTCAAAATGAAATTTGTTTGTTGTCTTTGTTTGATTACTGTTATCTTTGTTTGATTGTTGTTTCGTAACGGTAAATCCATTGATTCTTTCCGTTATCGGCACAAACTCTGGCACATCAGGATTTAGAATTTCATTTATTGTGGAAGAATTTATCTCTGATTCATCATATCTTACTGTTGAAATGGAATGGTAAGTTTCAAACACACGAGGAACTGGAGGAGCAGGCATTGTAGATAAAGGCTTTGCAGTAGGACAAAATGTAGTTTCAGAGGTAGGAATTACTTCGGATTGAGATGGATTAGACTGTTGCGCATGATCTGAAAAGGCGATATTACTAGTTATGTCCAAAAGAGGCCATTTTAACGGATTGAATCTTGTTCTAATCTGAAAAAAAAAAAAAAATTATATTATTAGACAAATTCGCCATTATATATGTGCGTAAAGAACATATATATATGTAAGATTTGAATAATTATAAATACAATGTAACGAGGCCTACTATCAAACCCCATTCATCGAACTTAAAATAAGTTCTAATGGTGTTAGCGAATCCTCTTCTATTTGCTGTAGCACAAGTTTTGTATCTAACACATATGTAACATGCTAGATTTTTTTTAAAATATGTGCTGTAATCGATTTCGTCAGATAACATGCGCTATTTGATTAATTTAAAGTAAGTTTATAATACCTTATATCCATCTTCTAATTCTAACAGTTCTAGTCTATCGGATTCCAAGACTGCTTCTATCACCAAATCTATATCCACCGTTAAATTTTGTACACGTTGAAAAGATGCGATCAAAGTGAGAGGTAAATATCCTTGAGCGTTCATTTTACGACGTAGGAAAAAGTCCTTCACAAGATTTTCTTCAGAAAAGTAATATTCTCTGTGTAAACAAAAGATATTGTTAGATATATATGTATACAAATTATATCGATATAAAAAATATAAATTAAATTTACATTTGTTTTCGTATATATTCTTTTAATGTAATGGTATCTATGTAATTTGCATTATTAAAATAGCACGTTCCCATATAAGGTATCATATATCCAGAATCCGTATGTTCATATTTATGGGTCTGTAAAAAAGAAGAAAACATTAAGTCTGAAGAAGCAGAAATTATAAATATAGATATAAACTTTAAACGTTTTCAGTTCTACTATCACTTATTATCCATCAAAATAAGATCAGATAGATTCCCACTTAGGTAACATCATTATTGAACTATCGCAACTCGCGATAAATAATTTAAACTGCGTATATCAAAAAGAAATTACTTGTGCACAGTCCGTCGTATAATTTGTATACTCGTGATCGTATCGGTGTCTGAAACCACCACGGCCACGCCCGCCTCGTCCTCTACCTCTGTAATTTCTTCCACCGCGTCCTCGTGAATTATATCCAGTTGATCTATCGTAATCCCTTTCACGCCAGTGCTCACCATCGTTCGCTGTTGATCACAATATAATTAACATTTATATTCGTTTGTTTTTATTATCGCTATATGTGCACATTGCAGTTAAGTTTCAATACGTACACAAGCATACGCACGCACGTACGCACGATCATTATACATATACAAATAAAATTACCTTCACCATTTCTTTCTCTATGATTTTGAAATCTCGGTGATCGCATAGTCCCACGATTTTGTGCCAAGTCAATCTCAAGCGGGACCCATTTTTGTTTATTCGCTGTACAAATAATAATCAGATTTAAATTAAATGTAGATTGAAAACATTTCTTATTTACATTGCAAGTAGAACAATTCATTTGTAAATAAAATTATTACAAAAGCTTTATTACATTATCTATAAGCAATTATTATAATGAATTCCAAGGGTAAAGATCGAATTTCTTACCTTTCCTCTTCTTTTCATTGTTATCCATATGCTCGTCGCTATCGTCTTGATAGTTTATCTGTTCCTTGTTCTCCTTGCCTTTGCTTTCGGCAATGTTGCATGTCTTAGAGGTACTTGGTTCACCATTAAGCACACCATTTTGCTTCAGAGGAGTTACAGCTGTTTTCCTCTATATTAAAACATAAAATATTGAATACATACAAAAATAAAAAATAGTATAATAAAAGAGAATTCATAAAAGTAAGATAACTCGAAGAATGCGTACATATAATGTATACAAAAAAATGTGTACAAATAATGAACAGTTCTCAGACATAGAAATTTTTATCTGAGATGACAAATATTTGATATTTCTCTAGCAAAATTTCTACACTCGCAAATGCACGAATAAATCATTTGCAAGCTCTAGATCTTGCACAGTTTATTATGTAATAATGACATAAGAAATATTATTTATGGCAATTAGAATAGATAAGATTATTATTAATAATTATTATTTAATAATAATTATATAACAGTTTCATTTAAAATAATAACTTCGATAACTTGCTAAAAGTACGATAGTAATTTAACAGAAATTCAATAACAATACCCACCTCTATTTGCGTTCCTAAAGTAGGCCAGTCTCCAATGTTCGTAAAATCACTTGCCTGTTGCAATGCACAAGAAAAATATATGTTACAGAAAATGTTTTAAAATATTTGCAACGTGTACGTTAGAAAGAAGATAAATACTTTAAACATTTATATTTTTTATAATAAATTATACATCTCATAAAATAAATCCTTTTAAATAATTTATATTTGTAATTCATCCCCTAATGTATGTATAATTAAATATTATGCCGTATATATTCTGTAAAATAAAACAATATATAATATAAATATATATTTCATCAAGATATTTAGTAAACCATTTAATTTAAATAAAGATTTGATTCGTTACATCTATTGAAGTATTGGAAGTTTATTTTCATCATTCTGTATATTTCAGAAAGTTGTGTATCAATTGCATTTAATTATATATATTATATATTATAATATAGAAATAAAAAATTATCTTTTGTGCTTACAATATAATCGAGTATACTAAAATCGCTTATCTTTTTAGATAAATACGTGCGCACTAAATGAATAAGATAGAAGATAAAAGATACATCACATACATTTTGATTGAATTTCCTTCTATCTCTGGAAGCTCTGACAATTGTTGGCTGGGCACCACTTTCGACACCATTTTCTGGAAATAAGAAGAAGAAATGCTTTTATGTAAATGTTAAAAACCAATATATATATAGTTATATAAAATTGTATATAATACGTTTTACAGATATAAATTAATATAAATAAATTTGCAATAAAATGTATCGCGTGTGCATCAACATATTGGTTAGACATCGGTTATTTTATAAATGTAATAACTTCAAAAAAAGATATTATTTTTATAAAATAATCTGACCAATATACTGACCAATATGTTAATGCAACACGCGGTACATTTTCAAAAGCTAAACGAAGAATTTTCATTCTAACATAAAAAAATATGAAAGATACATGAAGATATTCTTGTGCAAATTGGATTACTGTAGTCAAGAATTTTGTATGAACAACCTGTGTTGCAGGATTTAATATATTCAGGATAGCCTGTTAAATATTTTTTTCTCAAAAGCCGTCTCCGAATAATTATATCTTTATCGGTTTCTTCGTAACTTGTATGCCAAACCGCGTGACCTCGATTATCTTTCACATACACACGCGTGTTTCACGAATATTTTTATCTGTAACATTCGACGTCAGGTCGAAGGTGGGAAATGGAGTAGATGCTGAGCAAAAAATTTTCATACAAATTTATCTTTTTTAATCACTTTTAACTGTTTATCAAACATATTAATTATTTCTCTTTTTTGACAAAATTCTTCGTAGCTCTTACGATTATTATCACTGTAAACGAAATATCTTTAATTGTGTAAGAAATATTTGAGAGAGACAAGTCTTGGAAGCCATATGGCATTTGTAATTGAGAGGGCAAGATTAGAGCAAGAATTGGTACACCGTTAATTGAGAAATCAAAGCGTTATAATACTATGAAATGCACTACTAACGATGAGAGTAATGAATATTAATGTTACGCAACGCAACATAATTGAATATAGTAAAATTGTAATTAAATAACATTTCATCCTGCATTTTCTTATCGTATAATTTCCATCTTATCGTAATTATTTTTCATTATCTCAAAAAATTGTATCAGTAAAACAATTTTCGAACTTTTTATATTTATGAGCTTTCATATAATTATGTGTATCATTAACTTTAAGTTTTCATTGTTAATTCTGCGTCATTTAGAAGATTTGAAATGAGTTGTGGTAAAAAAACGTTAACAACTCCGCCATATTTACCCAAATCAAATTGGTTCTATTTTTACACTCAATTTTCATAGTTATTTTACGTTGTTTTTTTACTTATAGTTGATATTTACATGTAATATTTACACTTAATTGCTTCCGTGCCAAGAAATGCCGAAGTCAGATAATTATGGCAATTTGCCCTCGATGTAGACGTTCAAAATAATAAACAAGACTTAAATACGATTCGAACATTCTCTCCTAGTAGGACAAGTAAGATAAAATCTTTTTTTAATGAAACAAATTATTCAAGAGCTTAGTTATATTTAATTTAATAATTAACATCGATATACTATTTAATTTATGACTCTTTTACACGAATCTATTATTTCTAGCTCTTTTTTTAGTGTTTTTCTTCTATTCTATTGCATTTTAATCTGAAACGCTATCTTCAATAAAAATAAAAAATACAAATAAACTTCCGCTTTTTAAAGATTAAACGAAGGTTATAAACATTTACAATCTATATCAGAGATGTGATTCATGATTTTAATGTCTCCGCTCGAAGTTACGTTAATGTTTGGCCAGGATGTGGTCATACGTGTCACGAGGTGTAATAACTTCACGTAATCCTATCACGATTCAGCGTGATGCGACTGTTACCAGAATGTTATTGAAATGTTACCGGAAGTTATAGAACAATACATACCGTTCGTATTTATAATTCTTGGTCAGTGATAAAAGCTAAAATATACTCATGTCAAGTATGAGTACAAAATTTAATAATTTAGTTAGGTCGTATATAAACAAGTTGATAACACAACTGAGATAAGAATACCATTAATATTCGACAAGAGTTTATATACGTAGCAAGGTTTGCGAAAAATCGAACGAATAAGAGTTCATACATATATTGTTTATTTTCTAAACAAACTGTTTATCAACTGTTTATCTTAAAGGAGAGAATTACGAAATCGTAGGGCAAAACTATCCATCTATACGACCATTTTTTTCTAATCATTGAACAACACATCAAAACATATTTAATATAATGTAAATTGTCTTTTATTTTTCTTATACGACTGACTGAATTTTAATTGCTATTCTTTCCTAAATAAGCTTTTTTTTTTGAATTTTAATTAAGATTTTTAAAAAAGTCAGTTTTTCTTTGCAACTTAGATTACTCGCAACTTTTAATCATAATTTTAAAACCGAACAACCCATCATCCATTCATTTCCGAAGAGATTGAGAAATATTATAAAAATTCTAGACATACCGCTGTAACATTTACATCACAAATTATAATATGCATATGAGGAAGATGGCAGTGATGATGTCGACTCACTTTTGAAAGCACCGTCTTCACTTTCGTCTATCTTCATCGCGTCACGTGTACGCGACCTTTCGAATTTAACAATCCTACCCGTTCCGCTCCGTTGCCGCCCAAGTTGCGGTCTAATTAAATTGCGGTCTTAATTGCATCAGCAATGAGAATACCATTGGTATATCGCGCGAACGAAACTCCATATGCATTTTGATGTGACAAACGATGCGTCTCAGCCGCACAGATTGTTACGAACGTTCGCGCCTGGATGTCCATTAAGGCGAGTCTCGCTTCTCTCAATAAATAATTAAACGGGCAAATGGGTTAAAACGAGTTAGATTCCTCACGATTGATTCCTCGACGAAGTCGAAGGCCGCAAGTCTTCGCGAATCGGAACGATGTTCTCTAGTCCGGACTCAATACACTTAATGAAATATCTTGCAATCAATGCGATTGCACGACGGAGCGCGAAGTATCGATGCTGAAGTCGCGATTCGAACGTCGACGAGCCACTGAGAGCTGGCTGGTCTCAAGAAGAGAGAGAGAGAGAGAGAATCACGGCGAGACGATAGAGAACTACTCGCGACGCCTGGGAATACCCTCGACTGCTACTTTCAGCCTTAGTAGACCTTACGGAGTAGGTTTCATCTCCGAGTACACAAAGAAAATATCTTTGACATAGAGACTTGATAAAAAGATAATCTCCTATTTTTCTCTCTTCTTCGTTATCTTGAAACGTGTATTAAGAAGCTATGCGTTTTTCTCTGTGTCAAGAGTATTAGAATGTTAATATTTCATAAACATTGCAGTTCACTTCATAAAGACGAGGAGCTGCTTGATACTAACAGCATGCCTTGATGAAGTGAACTGCAATGTTCATACACATATACGAAACGTTGACATTCTAATAATGGACACGGAGATAAATGCATAGCTTCTGTGTAGAAATTAAATGGAAACCTCAAAAGCATTATCTACATGTATTTTTTTCAATTCTACCGACGAGGTTGTATTCAGATTTTTACTTGACGGAGGCCTTGACGACCAAGTTAAAGTGCAGGAGACACTGTTCTAGAGCAATTCGAAATGCCTCGTGTGCGCGGTGGCGCACTCGATCGAAAGATATTTGCCGGTCTATCGCGCTGGGCAAGTCCGACCGTCCCCCGAAACAGGTTTCCATTCACGCGACTCTCACTTTCTGCGACATATATTTTAATGTGGATCGAATGTGTCGATCCGTTGCGACAAGACCAAGGCCCAACATTTTCGCGGTGCGGTCGAAGCTGAACGCATCCGATTGAACATCTCTCTCCTTTAAGGTTTCGTGCATTTTTTTGCATCACGCGCACGAGATCGGAAGCCGATGCTAACTGCGGATCATTGAGCGGATTCAAGGCTGACGTTGAACAGGAATAAAAATCGAAAGTACATTAATTCTAAAAATGTACTTGAATTGCAGATTATTTTGCGTCCTATTTTCCGCGGAATTCGATCGAGCGTGTCGTTGGCAGAAATTACTTATACTGCGTGTTTCCTCTCTCTTTTCTCTCCTTCGCACACATACCGAGAAAATAAAATACCTGATTATAGAATGTAGACGAAAGAATGAGAATGACAAGTAAATATTCAATAAGAGGAGGAAGAGAGGGTTATAATTTAACAAAAAGTAAACTGTATTTAAATTCTTCTTACATTATTTAACAAGATGTTTTTTCTAAAAGTGAGAATGTTCGAGCACATGGACTATTTATAAAGCTTTCCACGATAAGCCGAGTCATTATTCATATCAAGTAATAAGTTAAAATATAAATTATAAGTCTTAGAAAATTTATACCCAGAATAAATCATATTAGATTGTAACGTCACAATGTTTCAGCCAATCAAAAGGGTGATAGTTATCAAGGCAAATAACAATGATTGGTCAATTATAACGTAATCTGAGTTATAAATCATAATAAATGGAATTTCTATGTCATTTCCACGCAGTCACTGATTACTGACTTATTGTTGCCTCATGACACACTATTGACTCGCTTACAACTTGCTCCTGACTTCTGATCTATTACTAACGGCTTGTTGTAGAAAGCCCATTAGGCAAGAAGCGTTATATGAACGCTCTCATGATTGCATCCTGTAGAAATGATTCGCGACGTCCACCGAAGCGCAAAACGAGTGTCAATGTCATTGCCCTCGTGGCACTCTCCCGCGTCCTCGTCCCGTATGATCGGAACAAGTAGATCAATTACGGTCCCGCAGATTCGGCGAGTTTCACGCCGCGCGCCGGAAATGCGTGCGCCTACACAAGCGTCTCGAATCGAAAATGCCACGGTATTATATTTTCGGTAGCGATGCTGAGAGAGCAGCTTCGTTGAAACGAGACGCCCTGTCGCGCATTCACGAGGCGTTTAAATCGTCCTGGACTTCTTCTGCGAAACTGTAAAAATGAGAAGTGCGAAATGAAAGACATCCGTTACCTCATTCGTTATACATACGCAGTAAATTGCATATTAAGAAAATTATAAAATTTTGTGGAGGGAGAATTTTGAAAATATCAAAAAACATTCTGTAAATTTTCTCATGGCAAAAAATACTTTTTTAAAAAGTATTGTTTTCTCGTTGTGTCGGAGGAAAAAATATTTTTATTTAACCTTTTCTGCGATAATTAGAATGAAAAAATATATTAAATCAAGAATGAACTTATCCTTGACATACATATATATTTTCTTCAAAAAATATATATGTACATATATATGCATTATCTTTTATAAAGGATAAAATTTTCTTCAGGGCAGTGATTTTCAACGTGCAGCCCGTCTGAATTTTTTGCTGGCTTGCATAGCCACATAAAAAAATATATTTTCTATTTAATACAAAACAAAATAAACATTTATGCGATCCACAAGATTTTCCTATTTCTGAAAGTAATCCTTAAAAAAGATTGAACATTACTGCTTTAGGAGATAAAGGCAGATTTGCTTGGCAGACTCAAACAGATCGAATCTTCCGATATGCAAATAAATTGCTGAAAACAACTCGTTGGTCTCCCCATGCGACATTTCGATGCCACGTATACTATATGTCTGTAACATGTTGGCAGAGTGTGAAGATAAGGTTGTCGGTGGAGCACTCTAAGTTCACACTCTTATTATCACGATTATCGAACATCTAAAGTAAAGACGTACGCTACTGGCTCTCTTTTAATTTGGTAGCTGCTTTTAACTTCTACAATCTACGCTAGTAGAAAAATGTATATATGTAAAACCTATGTAAATTTTAATATAGTAAATAAAAAATATAATAATTAAATCAAATTAATTATGCTTTTATCAAATAAATATATGTTCAAATTTAATAAATATTATACTGAAACTATTTAAACAAATATTTTTATAATTTAATATATTATATATTTTCCTAGATACATATTTTATAAAATTTTTAAACATGCAGATTGCAATGAGATTCGATTATGGCAAAGAAATTCTATTAAATTACCAGGCATAGAAATTCTTCCGCGACTACATTCTGAAATGTGCAATGCACATGCATATTTAAATCTAAAACTTTTTCCAGGGTGAAGCAAACAAACATAATAGTCGAATCAATAAAAAGTTATTCGATAACACGCGGAAACATTGGCGATCGTATATTTTACGTCGATTCTTTCCTCAATCAATAGTTTTTGCTTATAGACCGCCGTCTCTCCTCGATTTTTCAACGCTCGCACACTTGCGCGTTTCTATTTTCATGCCTCCGTTTCGTAATATATATATCTCATCCAAAACAGACCTCCCGTACAGTTTTGTCACAGAAACGTACGCCGTTCTAGCGTGTTTTTAAAAATTTTCAAGTATTCCAATCGAGAGGCGTGATAAATTTGCGCAACTGTTCTCAACATCTGGAAATAGCATTTAAACGATACAAGGATGTTTTTAATATCGATAAGTTAGAAATATCTCAATTTTAAGTGATTAAAAATTTGAAGGCTTCCGATAAATTATAATCTGATAAAGCTGGCAAATAGATAACCTTTCCCTCTTTACCAAATATAATTATGGAATTTGTATTATAATAATTATTAAAATTAATTATCAAGTTATTCGTTGGTAAAAAGATAAAATGTGAGAAAGAATGAAGTCTGATGGGATTTACAATTTTAATTTTACTAAAAAAGATGAAGAAAAAACGAAAAGGAAAGAGAAGGGAAAGAAATCCATTCTCTGACATCATGAATAATACAATCTATTTATAGATATAATATTCCGTGAAATCGGATATTTCGACACGATCTCTCGAATTTCAACGAAGCCACCGAGTGCGAGGTGGTACGCATTAATCAAATGAGATCGTACACGAGTGTGCGACAAGTTAATAATTATGTAATCGCGTTATCGTGCACCAGTGCGCGCACTAATGGCTATCGGAAAGTCCGAAGAAAGGCGATAAGAGGCTATTTTGCAATCGGGGCTAAGCGCAAGGCCGCGTGTAAAGTTCGTGGAGCTTTATTTATCGACGGCGCAGTTTATTCCTGCCGAAAAACGCTGAAGGTAAGTACGTACTTGATGCATATTTAACGATGCAAAATGTCTTAACGAGCGGCAGGTGTCCACCCAAAATTAATCGCTCGACATTTAACGCCTCCTCATCACGAAACTGAGGAAAACTATCCATAAAGCTGAATTTCTCAAAAAACGGCTCGGAGTAACTTATATTTATTAACTCCGTACGTCAAACTTTCTTGTAAAAAATAATAATGAATGAAATAGTAATTGATATAACATTGAAGAGTTCGCTGCAATTAGCTGAACGATATTAAAAAAACAGAGTGAATGAATCCTACATAAGATATCATTTACTCCAACTTTACAAAATGTGGGTTAACTATCCATTATCGCAGCAAGCTCTTTAACTGTACATACATAATTAAAATTAATATAATTGATACACGTAAATAAAAGACTAACGTATTCAATCATACATACAGAAAAATGTTATTTAAATTCTCTAAACTCCTTGGAGTAAAATCTTACTCCAAAATTTAGAATAAAAATTGAGCCAGTTTTGGAAAAGAGTGGCTCAATGTTCAATCTTTTCTAAAACTGAGATTTACTCTAAAAATTTTTAAGAGATCACATACTTAACAATATATAATTCTGTAATACATATAAAAATGATTAGAGATTAGTAGAATAACTCTGTCAACAAAATATGTTAAAATACGTGGAGTGTGCTTTGAAAAATGACGTAACTCACCTGTGGCATCCTGTTGCTGTTGCTGCTGCGGCTGCAGCACTCTCCTCTCTCTCTCCCTCTCCCTCTCGCTCTGTTTGTCGATGCATGTGGACGTTGCGACAACATTGGGCGGTTGTTGCTGCTGCTGCTGCTGCTGCTGCTGTTGTTGTTGCTGCTGCTGCTGTTGCTGCTGTTGCTGCTGCTGCTGTAAGGGAAGAGTCTTTGCGGTTTGCGACGCCGATGTTCGGTTTCTCGTCCAAGGGTTGACCGCGGGCAAAGGCGCTTCGACGTATTTGACCGGCGGCGGCGGCGGTAGGGACGCCGATTGCGCTTCCAGCTCGGTGCTCTGCTCGTCCTTGTAATGATGGGCCTCCTTCGGGCCATGATCGAGGACGCCATTGCGGTCGGCGCGCTCTCTGTGCGATCTCTCGTCGCTGCCGCGTCTACCGGCGCCTCCGCCCCCGACGCCATTGGGACCACGTGGTGGTAGCTGATGGCGGTTGTTGTTATCACGTAACCGGTGACGCTCCCGATGATTCTCGCGATACTGCTCGCGCAATTTTTCCTTACGCCGGGCGCCCTTCGTGGCGACTGTCTGGAATTCACCATCGTTGCCGACACTGCCGTTGTTGAGTCGTTCGGCGTCACTCTGGCCGTCGTCCTCACGTGACGCCGACGCCGACGCCGACGCCGATGACACGTGAACGACGTCGACGTGCGCGACCGGCATGCTCGACGAGTTCTCGTGATGATCGCGTCTCTCCGGACAGCTGTCCGGGAGAGTCTGAGGGCACCGAGTGATTCTCTGATAGGACTTGCCACCCTTCACACTTGGCACTATCTTCTCCTTCGCATTTGTTGTCGTTTGATGTTGCTGCTGTTGCAACAAATGTTGCTGTTGCTGCTGCGGCACCGCCACCTGATCGTCAATGTTCTCCTTGTTGTTGCTCTTGAAGGAGTTGGCACGATTTTGAGAAGCACCTTTCGGATTCAGCACACTGGCGTAGGACTGACAGGGCCCCGCCTCCTGTCGCTCGCCGCCGCGCCGCGCGCCACCTTGGCTGGCTAGCTTGGCCGCCATCTTGCGGCGCACGCCGTCGAGGCACAAAAACACGAGGTTCGCGGACCGTGCACGAGGTCGATGCGTAGTGCGTACCACCACTGAATTCACCGTCGTCGCTGCCGTCGGGACGTCACTCCCTCGTGGAAGCTCTCTCTCTTTCTCTCTCTCTCTCTCTCTCTCTCTATCTCTCTCTCGGATCGTCCTCGAAGGGGGAGGGAGCGGGGAGGGGAAGGGAGGGAGGTCACGATCACGGACGTCGATGACGGTTGACGAATTCACGGGACGAATAAACTAACCTAGTGCGCGCGTCCTCGAACTTCACATGCCCCAATTCATGCTAAGGGAAAATTCCGTCTGTCTCTCGCGTGGCGTTCGCGCGATCGTCCGCTCCGAAGGGAGACGCGACGACGGAGGTACGAGGGTCCACTTCCGTCAGCTTCCGTGACCCGGCACGTCAGAGGCTG